AATATCCGACGGTAAATATAATATTCGCTGAATTATAAAAGTCGAGGTTTTCCTAAAAAAACCTCAAATTTTATCTGTGTTAATTATTACTGGGAACTGTGCTTGGTAGTTGGTATGAAAATTAACACTTTTTATTATATGCTAGTGGACTTAGATCTGATGAATGATTATCTTTGCTATAGAAGATACTTAGAGGTTATATCACTGTTTATTGATGCGAATAATTATTGATTATTAATTTTAAATCGTATTTTTATTGGACTTTTTGCAGTATTTTATATTTACTCATAAAGGTTACGTCACACACACAAAAACATAATATATAATTGTAAAATACTCGTATCTCTTAGTTTCACTCAAAAGTCAAAATAGAATAAAGCTATCAATGAAATTAGGTGAAATGCAGTTATGAAGTATAATATTTATTAGTCAAAAAATAATATTATTTATTATTATTTGTATAGTGTACTAGAGTGTACGTTGTTCAGTAACTGACACAATAATTCAAAATCATACACTGGGAGATTCATCAAGCTGCTCACCTCCACTACTTTTTCAACATTGCAGTTATTCAAAATCTGATTTTTGAAATTTTCAAATATAATACTTAAAGACTATATTTTCATGTTAATTGAGGAGTGTTCTATGGAGATACTACAAACTACTGTTTATCAAAAGATAACATCTATTTTATATCATTAAAATTAGAAATTAAAATTTGAAAATATATACGAATCATTATCAAATTTTTGTACCAAGAATAATAGGGCCATGATAATGGATTTGGAAAATATGGGGGCTATGCGACTGTTTTAAGTTTTTAGTAATTTATATAATCCATTATTCATCAATAATTATAATTTATAAAAATGGTTCGAGAATATAATGAATACTAGAGCCAATATTACATTTATTTCATACTTTGGTAAATCCATTTTTAAGAATTTTATTCTAAATATAATTAACATTTTAATAACTTATAAACTATTTGTTCGAATATCTAATTATATATACATCAACATTTTGTCATTTACATAAAAATGTCCCATTAAATAATTTATAATAAAAGGGGAGAAGGTTCTCATTAGAAAAATTAAATCAGATAGATTTGAATCACTAAAAACCATTATCCTCAAAAAATCTAAAAAAAATCAAGAACTTCAAATATACATAGTCTTAAAGCAGGTAAATWAAAAAATTCCAAACACCGGAMTCTGAATAAATTAGTCGTCGAATGAAAAAAATGGAGGTGAGCATGATTGTTAAATCACTCTGTTTCTTTGTCATGTTGTTGATTATCGTGTTTCCTTTTTTAAATTTTAAGTCAAACAGCACATTGTATATTTCAATACTGGTGGTTAAATAAATTATATGTATTTAGTTTTGGTATTAAGTACACAATATATTTAAATCWCAAATTCAAAAGATGTTTACAAATATAATATAATTGTAGCGTTCGCATAATGTTTATAATAATATCATGTGAACTCGGTTTTAGGGGATGACTATACAAATAATAATACAGTCCAAAATGTAGTGTACCTWTTTATTTTTGACCGTGTGAAATCACTCCGAACAATAAAATTGATCCAGTTAGGCCAAAACAACAAAATTTATTATACTAATATATTATACTATGTATAGCGACAGATGTTGGTCGAATATTGTGCATTTATAGTACATAATAATAATAATAATAATATACTGTATACGAATATACCTTCTACCAACGACAAGGCACAAACACATGCAGATATTATTATAATGCGATAAACGGAGTAGCCTTTTCGAATAAAAAGAGTTTGAAAATAATATATTACACTGAACATCTGGCGGCGGCTATTCGCTCCTTGTGTGTTATTATTATTTTTATTATTATAACAATAGACCGAGACGCTCGGAAAAACGCAGTGGTACCTAACCTCCTATAATATCATTATATCCCTATTATTATACGAGCTCGGATTAAACTACAATAAACACTAATTTATAGGTTTTCAAGATGAACGAAAAACGATCCGAGAAACGAACTCTGCTGCCGTACGAAATAAATATAATGCGAGACGTGAACGTGGAAAAAAACGGATAGGTAGACATTGATGCATTATTATTGTATTTTAATCTGCATTCTGCAGGTACACAGGCATATTGTATTAATATTAGTGTGTTGAGGGGGAGGGAGAATAAGAGAGTGCCCAGTCGTTATTGTCTTAATAATAATATGAAGTATAAACACGTGAACACAACGGGTTTTAGCGTTCGACAAATATTTGCACGCGTGCCCGAGTTCTGATGTTCTATGTCACATAATATTGTGTAGGTTTTTATTATTATTATTATATGATTGTTTTTGTCTTTTCAATTATCCGAACGCARCAGTGGATAAAGAAAAAATAAATATATCATACGCTCCGAACACCACACACGTCACAATTAATTATAATAATTATTATTA